ACTGCTAGTGTTTTAAATCAAAATATTTTCATTCGCAGCATTGGTAGTGAATCATGAATTACTCAAAAGTAGAAAAAAAACACATCTAAACAGCGGCGTATGCTTACGGCGTGGGTCAGCTCGTAATAATACATTCTTCTATTATGAAGTGCCAGGAACAAATCAAGATACATGTGTTTACGCACCCAATCAAAGTTTCAACTAAATCTCGGGGGAAAATGGTTCAAATTAACATTGAACAATGCGCAAAGAAAGAAAAACTTAAACTGGTACACGCTGCATTGTTTAAACAAGTACACAATTAATTATGGTTTTTAATTTTTTTTATAATATATGATTATGTAAACCGGCTTATCACACTATCTCTTCAGATGCCGAGGTCACAGAAACAAGTGAACTCTACTTCACTTGCCCTATAGACCGTTGTTACGGGTCAGTTGTAGGTCAGATTAGAATAGGTTAGAATAGTCTAGAACTAGGGGAGAGTGCGTGTGTGAGTGGAGTTCACCCTACTGTGTAGTTACCCTTGTATGTTTATGTATTGTAATCCCAAGGTCGAATGCGGGTATAAAAGGGCGAGTGAACGATTGTAGGGGGTTAGTTGATAGCGGGTAGGACGAGGGCTAAAATGTACACATTGGAGACTGAATAAAAGTATAGAAGTTAGACACGAAGCGTTGTTGTTTGTCAGAGACTAACCCGAACGTAACAACCGTCAGGTTTGAAAAGGGAAATTTCGCTTACTTTTACTTTTAAACCGGTTTATAAGTTTTTTACATTGTAAAATGTATGCTAATGTAACCCTGCTTGTTATGTGGCACTTCATACCCGAATGGACCTCCAGTTTGAGTGGGATATTTATTTAGGCCCAGACAAAAAAAAATATCTGTCATGTATAAATACACTTTAATTATAATTATAATTATAATTAAAAGTGGGGTAGCATTTGTCCGCTGGAGTGGATTAATGACATTAATTAATTTCAATGGTGAAAATTGCTTTAAGATACGAGGAATTTAACATACAAGCGACGTTATGGGACGAATTAAACTCGTATCTCGAGCAGTGTTTCTTCCAGACTTTTTTCTCCGGTGGGGGGGGGGGGGGGCACTTGAGATAATTTTCGGGGGGGGGGGGGCGATAGACTTTCTTCGGGGGGGGGGGGGGGCGGACACTGTTAAAAGTATATATTTTCTGTATAAATTATATAAATTTCATTTCGTTCGGGGGTGGGGGGGGGGGGGGAGGCGGTAGAATTTTTTCGTGGGTCCCGAAGAGATGCCTGGAAGAAACTCTGATCTCGAGGTACCCCTGTACTTTACTTCTAGCTATCTGAGGGGGGCTGGAAATATTTCACTTTAGAATTAAACATGTCGTCCAACACAAACAAAAGTTGCCGTTTGATAAGTTTAATGTATTAAAGGCTTTTTTTTTTTAAAAAAAAATAGCTTTAATTTTTAAGCGATGTAACCGTGAAGGTAATTGTGCATGACTTCTAATGCAAACAAGTCAACATTCCAAATTTGAAGTTTTAATGCATTTTAGGGCTTGATTTTTTTTTCGGTTATATTATATAGCTTTGTTAATACTATTATCTTCGCATATAGCTTTGTTATTATTTGTAGTTCTTTTTGTATGCCAATTTTACTTAAACATGTATTTATTTAAAAAAAAAACATTGATTTGAAATAATTTCATTCAAATTAAATAATATTAATTCCAATACAGTTAAGAAACAATGCAGAACAAAGTATAAGCTCTTAACAATGTGAGCTCAACTTCTAATGTTGTCATTATAATACAATTGTGCCCTTTTTGAAAAAAACGAGTTTTTTAAACTGCATTGTTTAAGGTTTGATTGAGGTATTACAGTTGTTTACTTATACAAATAAAGTGTGTTTGGGTGGTGTGTTGTGAGGGGGGGGGGGTGTTATGTTTGGTTCGTGTATTAGGGTGGGGAGGAGTTATGTCTATATTAGGGTGTCATGGTGTGTTTGATTGGTGTGTTGGGCTGGGGCGGGATTTGTTTTTGTTTGGTGTGTTGGGTATGGTGTGTTTGTTTAGCATAATTAGATAAATAGAAGATTTTTACTAATTTTATTATTAGTTTCTTACAACAATAGTACTTGAACTTTTTATTAAGTCGAACGCGTAGTCGCGAAGTAGAATAGTAGCTAGGAATTATATAAAGAATCTTAGTTATTTGACACAACAGTTAAACTTGAAAAATTAAGTCAACATCATCTCTGAAATATCATCTCTGAAACAGGAATAATAAGTTGGTGGTCATATAAGGGCATAAATGAAAACAAAACTAAAATTCATCATTTCAATATCTCTGTACGCAACTAAGTTTAATTATCTGAACAGTATTTGTTTAGCTATCGAGTGTGTGTAGAAATTAATAATAACAGAAGGTTTTATGGAAGTATAGAGTTTAAATGTAGTTAAACCTTGTAATTAATCTTGTATATTTGTATCGCTAATATTTCTCCTCGTGTCGCTATTTTTAGACCACTGGACACGGCGTGTACACATGACCTAGTTTGACGGCCGTCTACGAAACCCTGCGGGCATACCATATAAGGTAAACAATTAGACAACGGCAAAAAAGGAAATAACTAGGCCTAAACAGTTTAACTTCGATTTTTGCCTGCTCATCCTTTATGATCTAAAATTATGCTACAGGTGTACCTAAGGTTTTGCATATTCCCCTTATTTAAAGAAATCAGCTGATTAATTTAGTTGATTGTCGAATTAAAAATTAATCTGTATAAATTACACAAGACTAGCGAAAAAATTGAGTTTTATTTTATTTAATGATGGGTACAGTTTAAAGCTGAGTAAACAAGTTTTTGTGGTATAGGAAAAAAGACTTGGATAATGGTTTAGTTTTGGTTAATAATCACTTTTGATTAATGATTAGGTTTGGATATTAATTAAGTTTTAGTAATTAAGTTTGGATAGTAATTAAGTTTTAGTAATTAAGTTTGGGTAGTGATTAAGTTTGAGTAATGATTAAGACTGAATATACATAGACCAGTCACCATAGACAAGCCACCATCACTTTACCATTCCATGACCCCCCCCCTACACCCTCCTTAGCCCACCTCTACACCACACCTACACCCTCCCTATACCATCCTTACCTCATACCTACACCATCCCTTCACCACCCCACCACCACCCCTACACTCTTCCTACACCATCCTTACCTTATACCAACACCGTCCCCACCCCATACTCCCTCACCTCTAAGACTCCAATCATTAGTTCTTGTTGAATCCACTTGTTTTGTTAGACACATGCTCTACCCACTGGACCACTCAACACTTCTGATCCAAACGGCTGTTTTATTATTCAAGGAAAAAAAAACTACTCCACCACGAGTGGCTTTTGGATCCCTAAACTATAGTTAATGCTACAAAAACTACTCCACTGACGTGCTATGGTATGTATCCGTTACCACCCATTTGTGAACTGGAACGGCTACATACTGATTAATGAACAACAAAAAAAATGCTTTCTAAATGATTGAAGTAATCTGTGTTATAAAATATTCATCGCGTGTCATTACAAACAATCACTTATTGAATTCAATCAACTGGGTTTGATTACATCTGTCTGTGGTAATGCCAATTTTGTAAGCGGAACAGACAACAACAATGTTTTTTTTAAGTAATTAATTCTTGCCATTAAATGATGGGCGCATAAAATATTTATAATGGATTCCTCTCCAACGCACTGGCCTCAAGCTTGCTGGGGTAAAAAAAAAGTAAAGTTCCATTACGAGCGTGACGTTCCTAGGTGCAAGTAAAATAGAGTTCACTTTCTTTTTGTAGACTTAGCACATAAAGAGATAGTATAGTATCGTCAGTACTGCGCCGAACCAACTTTATAGCCCGGATTCGAACTCGATACTTTCGGGTCAGCAGACAAGTGCTCTACCCTTCGATTACTCCATCAACTCTTGCTAGGGGGGGGGTCGTCCATAAATGACGTCACACTCACAGGGGGAGGGGGGGGGGTCCGTAATTTTGTGACGGTGTGTGACACACTTTTGCATAAAAAAAAGCAATGTTATAAAACGAATTTTAGACGTTATTTCCCGTTTTAGAAAACTGTTTTAATAAATTGCAATAGGAATTGATTAAAATACTCTATTTTGATAGAGTTCAGACAAGATTTTGAAAAAAATATCGATGTTTTAAGAAAAATTCAACTGTAATTTTGAGGGGGGGGGGGGTTGTAGGCTGAGGTGTGACGTCATTTTAGGGGGGGGTCTGGCTTTTTGTGACGATGTGTGACGGAGGGGAGGGGAGGTAAAAATCGTCAAAAAAGCGTGACGTCATTTATGGATGACCCCTGGGGTACTTAACACTTTGAGCTTGGGTTTGTCAGTGAATCCGTAGCCCACGATACAAATGTCGATGTAAAGTAGATAAGGCTATAGCTTTGTTTAGTTTAAAAGTAAAAAGGTTACGTTCCCTTTTTGAACCTGACCGTGAAGTAGAGTTCAACTGTTTCTGCTACTTCAGCATATGAAGGGATAGTGTGGTCAACACTATACACAGTTCTACTGACTTGAACACGATTTGGTACTCGATGCTTTTGGTTATCAGTCTAGCGCTCTACCGCTTAGCCACACTAGTCCCATTTAGTTTAATTAATATAAAAATGAGTTGTGTGAAGGGGATATGGTGGGTGGGGGAAGTGAAGATGCAACAAGAGATTAGAGTCTGTAAAATATTTTTTTATTTAAAATTTGGTTTAACTAGAACAGGAATGTATGTCTTTTAGAAACAATTATCACTCACGTAATAAGTTGCTGACCATTCTAATACAATAATAATCGGGAAATAGGAAGTATAATATGATTATTTTAATCAGTAAGTTAAATATCTCCCCCCCCCCCCTTAAAGGTTTGATAAGAACAATCGTGGTGTCGAAGCCAAAGTTGAAGGACTAACTCATGACGACGTCACCGGGCCCCAACTTCCGGACAACCGACCGTCACTTGACGTCACCGGGCCCCTACTTCCGGGCGCCTGCCCAGAACTGGAAGCGGCATTTCTCCAGCTTGAGCTCAGCGGCCTTGACCTCCTCCCTCAGCTTGGCGATCTTCTCCAGTTTGCTGATGCGGCCGTTGGGCGGGCTGTCGGCGCCGCCGTCGTCGTAGACGTTGATGAAGTAGCTCCCTGTTGGTGACATAAGGCAAGCTTTGGTAGGACAAAACTACATTGTGATATAGCGATAATAACACCACAATCATAACGCGGTTCTGCGTAGTTTCCTGTTGACGACATAAGGCAAGCTTTGGTAAGACATAACTACATTTTAATATAGCGATAAGAACACAACAATCAGGCGGCGCTGTTTAGCTTCCTGTTGATGACATAAGGCAAGCTTTGGTACGACAAAATTACATTCTAATGTAGCAATGACAATACCACAACCATCAGACGGATCTGTGTCTTGCGTTAATCCTGAGCTTAAGCCGAGGTTTAAACCTAAACCAAAATGTAAGCCTAACATTATCTGACATGCGATTTACGCTATCTGACTGTATCCATACTGCTATTCGTAAATGTACATTTTGTCAGGGACTTTTTTCAATTAAAAAAAACCCGCTATTAGTATTGAAGGACGTTTATTATTTTTTTTTCTCTATTACAAGCCTAAGGGCTTGGAGCTTTGAAAAATTATATATATATATATATATATATATATATATATATATATATATATATATATATATATATATATATATATAGTTAACTCAATCAAATTATTGTTAATGTCTGCATATTCTCTTAATATTTATACCGATATTGTTGTCAATGTAAATAAATGCAACTTACTGAACATTGTGAACATTAACCAGAATTGCTTGGAACCCTTAACTTGTTTCCATTTAAATTTAAATCATGAATAAAATAAAATACTTGCTTAATTAATCGGATGACTATTTAAAATAGGATTTCTCACTTCACCTGCGTGACGTCATGCATTTACCTGTATTTACCGGTAGCATTGTTGTTTGAATGAAACATTAGGCTTAAGATTTTATATATTTTTGTGAACTGATAAGAGTTGTTGCCAATATTTAGATTTTAAAGTTAAATTAACTTTTTTTTTTTTAAATTACCAGCTTTTAAGATAAGGTATTACATTTTAATGAACATACATTATATATTTTAAAATATATAACATTTTCATAGTAACTTTTTATTTATCAAATAAAAAATAAAGAAATTACTTTCTATAAATAAATTTTAACACGCCACAATTTATATAACTATTAAAAAAGCGGGTATTTCTGTATTAAGTGTTAAATATAACAAGTATGAATAATTCACATTTTATCAAATGGTTATATAAATAGCGGTTCATATTACAAGAAAATCATTTTAGTTCTTTTTTTCATTTAAATAAAAACCTTTTATTCTTTTTTTTTATATTTTTTATTTCGAAATAAGTACTTGAATTTTTTAAAATGAACACACCGAATGCATGTGTACTAGCTTGACCAAATCTTGAAATAAACTAGAATGTCTAAATAAAAAAAAACTGTTGGATTAAATTTACGTACTGTAGCATTTGGGTAATAGTCTTTTACGGTGAGTTTACCCAATGCCTTCTTCTTCACTCCTCCGTCATCTCGTAGAATCACATGTTATAAAAATAATTAACTGATCAACGCTTGAATTACAATTATTTGCTCACATTATTTTGAATATTAGTTTTTTACATATGTTAGTAAATGCATTTAATGCAGATTAAATTCATTATGGGTATTATGCCGCATTACAGTTTTAATGTTCAGTAAAAATAATGTACGATGTATTTTTTCTTCCTTCTGTTTACTCAAAGTTGCACCAAATCCAGTTTTTAAATACTGATTTTATTTTTTAAAATGTTTTTGCTATAATAATATCAATATGTTTTCGTGCAATGTCAGATCAAACACTACAATGAGATTACAAACTTCAAATAAATGAGGGGAAATTGTTTCGAAAGTCCTGCAGAATAATCTATAAAACTTTTTGAAGATTATTATACAAGCAATTGATAGAGAGAAAAAAAAATCTGTTTTTAAAAAGTAAAAAAAAAAATCATTTATAAAATCAATCGGTGTACTGGAACAAAAACATAAAACAAACCAGCTTTCTTCAAAATATAGTAGTAAAAGCTTTAGTCACTAAAAAATAAAAAACAATATATATATCTAGACAAAGAAAGTCTGTAATGTTTTCTTTAATGAATAGAGGATTAAAAGAAGTAATTATAATAACTATCCGTGCCGGCCACACCCTAGTTTCTGAGAAAAACGTATCGATTAATGGCTTTGATTGAGTGCTAATAATGGCTAATAGTTTCATGTAAAGTTAACTTGAAAACATGAATATGGGGGATTTGACCACATGTATTTCAATAGTGAGTTGTATATTTTCACCAAACTTTATATTGTGTATTACTAACAAATTTTATCGTTTCACGCCTATAGTTTTCTAAAAATAAAGAATATAATATTTTTAAATTATTTTCTTTTTATATTTTATTAGGACATTACATAACGATGCCGTAAAAGACATGCAGGCTATGTCATAACAAGCATACACATTTGTGTGTAATGTTTACTTTTAAAATTTATGTAAGCTTACTCCCAGCATTATTATAACAATTCAATAGCTTTACATTTAGTATTTACTGTAGTGACATAAAATAAATTTACATTGCAACTGGTACGCTGTTTCTCCTGATAAATGTAAAGCTCGTTTTTTTTCAATATCCACATTATCGTCATAACACTTTTCAAACAGATTCGTAATATAAACATTAAGTTGTCGATACTTCCTTAAAATGTTGTTTTTTTTTAATGATTTCTAGTACATCTTACAACATTAGAGTAATTTGGAGAAAATAGAATCATAAAAGAAACAAAATTCAAATATAGTAGAAGGACAGATGGTACATTAATAAAAAGATTATTTTGTATTGTGCATGAGCAATACAATTTTAAAGAAATTAATTATCCAATTATCTTTTTATATATAATTTAGATTACAATGCAATTCTTGCTGAGCTGTTGAGGGCTTCGCTACTTATTTCTTTATGATAGTAGAATTTGCACAGTTTTAGGTACAAAAGTTTTCATCTAAATAACATACATACATCTCATGTAACTTAAAACCAAACGGATAGGCCTACATACAGTAGGATGAAAACAGAATAGTTCCACATAATAAATGCGGCCGTGAATTGTCTCGAAATGGTGTATAAAAAAACCTAATTTTTATTTTTGAAGGACTTTACTTGAGATTGAATGTATTTGATATTTTAGTATTTTCGGTTACTAAACGCAATTTTTAAAACAGTGCAAAATACAATTTGGTTGTTTACATGTTTTATCTCACAAAATGACAAGGCCAAGTGGTTTAAAAAAATTGAATAATAAATTTTATCGGCAAAGTTTTGAGTACAAATTACTAAGATATGAAATAAGGTTTTCAGAAAATCGATCAAGGCTTTCCTGTACAGTTAATCAATGTTTGTCTTACGAAAGTAAAACGTTAGGTTAAAATTTAGGCTTGATAGAATTGTAGCCTTCAACTCAAAACGAAATATTTGCAAGTGCTACGGATCTGCAATTGTTGTAACATTGATTTTAAAAACTTTACGTTTCTGAATTATTTTCACGTTTAAGTTTAATTTTTTTACGACCACTTTGATGGCAAAATCTAAAAAAATTTTTTTTATCCACGTCAAAAATAATATTGACAACCGAACGGAGAGGAGGATTTCCACTACATAAAGCAGAAGATATTATGTGGATAAGTCCCTGGATGTAAATAAGGTCATTACTAGAAACAATTCTCATACAGTTGTCGTAGTGTCGGCAATGCAGCATCCGCCTACTTAAAGAAACACTTCTCTATTTAGTTCAACCACTGTCTCTTCCAGACCTTTTTTTTCGGGAGGGGGGGGGGGGGGTGGACACTGGTAAAAGTATGTTTTCTATATAAATTCAATTTCGTTCGGGGGGGGGGGGGCGGTAGAGATGCCTGGAAGAAACTCTGAGTTCAGCACTTACAACCTAAATGAAAACTAATACAAGTGACACAAACGCAACTTTAAACTCAGTCCTGTATTTTTTAACTCCCTCGTTAACCTGCCAATGAATGCCATTTCACGAACGTTATGCACAAACATCAATAAACGATTTCATTTAGCATGTTCAGAATAAAACATATCTTGCTTTCAAATAAGTATTAACTACATCTAAGTCAGTGCCGCAGGACCGAATAAGCTTAATGTGTTAAATCTTTAATTTATCAGGAAAACAAATAGAACAACCGCTTCACTACACTTAGCCAGTGAGCTTTGCTATAATTACCTTAATGCAATACTTATAAACTGTAGTTTTCTCGAGTAAAATTTCAATAAACGAACTGACATTTTCGTTTAGGTTTAAACCTCGGCTTAAGCTCAGGATTAACGCAAGACACAGAGCCGCCTTATGATTTTTGTATTTGTATTCGTGGTGTCTTCTATGGTCCCCATGAAGAGAATTATATAGATAGATAGATACCACGATTTCGTGTATACTATTATAGGTAGTACGTCTGAGCTTCACAAACGACGATTGAGTTGTGACTTTTGTGATGAAATATAATTAAACTGCAATTTTTTAGTTGTTTTTTTTTAAAGTACCAAATGAACGGCGTCAACAGTGGGTTTTTCATCAATAAAATGTGCAATTAGCCTACATTTAAAAAATCGACACATAGAATGTAAAATTGTAACTTCTCTCTGTTTGCCCCCCCCCCCTCCCCCAACTTTTTCTTTTAACCACCCCTCACTCCCACCCCAAACAAGAATGCAATATAAATGATAGTATTAGTTACACGGTATAGCGAATACATGTCATCTACAGTCCGATGCTATGAGGTACATTTCATCTACAGTCTTGTGAGGTACATGTCATCTAGAGTCCGATGCTATGAGGTACATGTCATCTACAGTCTTGTGAGGTACATGTCATCTAGAGTCCGATGCTATGAGGTACATGTCATCTACAGTCTTGTGAGGTACATGTCATCTACAGTCTTGTGAGGTACATGTCATCTAGAGTCCGATGCTATGAGGTACATGTCATCTACAGTCTTGTGAGGTACATGTCATCTACAGTCTTGTGAGGTACATGTCATCTAGAGTCCGATGCTATGAGGTACATGTCATCTACAGTCTTGTGAGGTACATGTCATCTACAGTCTTGTGAGGTACATGTCATCTAGAGTCCGATGCTATGAGGTACATTTCATCTACAGTCTTGTGAGGTACATGTCATCTAGAGTCCGATGCTATGAGGTACATGTCATCTACAGTCTTGTGAGGTACATGTCATCTAGAGTCCGATGCTATGAGGTACATGTCATCTACAGTCTTGTGAGGTACATGTCATCTACAGTCTTGTGAGGTACATGTCATCTAGAGTCCGATGCTATGAGGTACATGTCATCTACAGTCTTGTGAGGTACATGTCATCTACAGTCTTGTGAGGTACATGTCATCTAGAGTCCGATGCTATGAGGTACATTTCATCTACAGTCTTGTGAGGTACATGTCATCTAGAGTCCGATGCTATGAGGTAAATGTCATCTACAGTCTTGTGAGGTACATGTCATCTACAGTCTTGTGAGGAACATGTCATCTACAGTCCGATGCTATGAGGTAAATGTCATCTACAGTCTTGTGAGGTACATGTCATCTAGAGTCCGATGCTATGAGGTACATGTCATCTACAGTCTTGTGAGGTACATGTCATCTACAGTCCGATGCTATGAGATACATGTCATATACAGTCTGATGCTATGAGTTATATGTAATCTACAGTCTGATGCTATGAGTTATATGTAATCTACAGTCCGATGCTATGAGTTATATGTAATCTACAGTCCCATGCTATGAGTTATATGTAATCTACAGTCCGATGCTATGAGTTATATGTAATCTACAGTCCGATGCTATGAGTTATATGTAATCTACAGTCCAATGCTATGAGTTATATGTAATCTACAGTCCAATGCTATGAGTTATATGTAATCTACAGTCCGATGCTATGAGTTATATGTAATCTACAGTCCGATGCTATGAGTTATATGTAATCTACAGTCCGATGCTATGAGTTATATGTAATCTACAGTCCGATGCTATGAGTTATATGTAATCTACAGTCCGATGCTATGAGTTATATGTGATCTACAGTCCGATGCTATGAGTTATATGTAATCTAGTCGTGTACTGTGAAGCACATGTCATCTACCATCTGGTGCTGTGAGGTATATGTCATCGACTGACATCTACAGTCTGTTGCTATAAGATACATGTCATATAAAGTCTGATAATATGAGGTATATGCCATCTACAGTCTAGTGCTGTTAAGTACAATAAAAAAATGTAGTTGCTAGTTACTTCCCTTTTATACTTTTTATATCTACTAGGGGAAGAAACTAAGAACTTAGTTACACAATTTATCAGAAAAAAACTATTGGTTCGATAAAAAAAAACAATCTGCTTTGAGAATAACTGTCTATTAATTAACTAAATAATTTATTGTTACATTTTTTTTAAAAGCCTAAAAATTTAACTTTTTTAAAATCAAATTTCAAAATATAATTGTAATTAAAATTAAGAAGGCTTAAAAGTACTAAGATTATCTTTATAGAGAAACGAATACTTCGAAATTAATTGCTGTTATCCAGAGGAGACTGAGTTAACCTCATTTGAATCGACACATATTTTTTCAGTAATGTTCACCATTTTGTTCATGTAATAATAATTTTTGTAAATGTTGAACTATGTTCGAGACTAAAGTACACACATTTTTTAGGCCTATATGCTGATGTAGTTATTTCTATTTGAAAATAAAAGTATTTTAAAAAAAGAAAAAAATGTTACATGAATATTGTTTTTTGGGTTAATTGGTACTTGATCGTAGTTTTGACTTTTCTTAAACCTGTCATTTTGGACTATAGCTTACTATAAAATTGTATCATTAAATTAAGACACCAAGAAGATTGGATACACCTGGGGACAGTTAAAGAGACTAGCCCATGACAGAGACGCCTGGAAAACTCTTGTCAGCGGTCTATGTCCCAGGAGGGACGAAAGACAAACCTAACCTAACTAATATGATGCGTTTTGCCCCTAGCTCTCCCCCCCCCTCCCCCATTGTATAAAGTTGCCAGATTTAGCATATTCTAATTTTTCAAGGATTTGTTTCTAGCTTCTATTTCTAGACTGTTTGCGAATAAAAATGTGTATTAATATTTTTTTAACTGTGTAAAACTACAGATGATTGTTTATAAATGCTTAAACAATCTCTGTAAAACGACTGTAAGATATATAGATGTTTAAAAGGGGATGATGTTTTATTTGAAGTCCCTCGTTATTCTCAACATATCGACAGTGATAGTTATAATATTGTTTTCTTTTTACCCCACATTTATTTCTGTTCAAACAATAAGTCAACCCCCAATACCCCCCTCTACAAAAAATATGTGCTGTCTATTAATTTTTAGGTTAAATTATTTTTTTTCGACTTAAGTAAATTAAACAATCGTCAATAAATGGCAGAATAACTATTGTAAATCTGTATCAGTCATCACAAGATGATAATGAAAACCTTAATAGAAAGACGTACAAGGAGGCAGGACAAACTGTCGCTGTAAATTAAATGTCTGTGACTTGTTTTTTTTTAAACAACCCTCGATTTTTTTCTTTTTCAGTTGTGGGTCGAAACCAATTTGTATCAAACTTAGCACACAGATAAAGACCGGATGTTTTATTAATATTTTAAACAACTAATTAAATGCAGCCGACATCAAATAGCTAAACGTAAAGAGTTAAATATATCTTGCTGCTGACTAAAACTGACATAGATTAACTGTAAAGTGATCAATTTTTATCAATTTCTTTTAAAATGTTATTCACGTTTTTATTATTTGTAGTAAACATTCATATTTTTGCTATGTAGGTCGAATTATTTCAGTGTCGTTTATTTTTATTTTAACTTTAATTGATATTAATTTACTATTTTTCTTTATAGAAACAAAGTAGCGAAGGGGTGGGGGGGGGATGTCAAATGTTTTTCTTAAAAAAAGGGGTAAAAGGGACTAAAACGTTTGTAATGTTTTGGTGTAAACTATTGTGTGGTTGGGATGGCTAGTTTGATATAGGGCTTGTAAGTCTACGGTCTCGAAATCTACTAGCTGCTTAGTACGAGAACGAGAAGTTGTGACCTACTTACAAGCCCTATTGTGATCATGTTTGCTAGTCCAGTTCCTGGGGTGAACTGTGTTCAGCTCACCCATATAAGAGATCACAAGATCACGAGAGCAGTATATCATGAGCGTCTACCAACTGAAATTGTAGACTTTAAATTTACTGTTTGTCAATACTAAGACGACGGGTGTAGAACAATACAGCAATGTAAAAAAAATTTTTAAATAAATTACTTTATAAAATAAATGTATAAATTAAATTAGTATATGTTATGCAGGATACCTGTGTGTTTTTCATAACTTTTTTTAACACAACTCGGTTTTAGTTTTATTTTAAGCTTTTTAAATTAAGATACACATGTTTGTTTTGGAAAATCACCCTCAAGAGATTTAGTTGAAGGGCATTTCTTAACTTAAAGCCACCTAACTACCATCACAAATGCCGCCACAACACAACCATCACAAAAAATAACAACTACCAACATTACAACTACTACACAATAACCAAATCAAAAGCATTCACTACAGCCAATACCACAGTCCAACCACCACAACACAACTAGAAAAAGTGCTACAACCACCACCACCACAATTACCGCATAACAACCCAAAGTGAACAAACCTTTTCGACCAACTCAATAACCTAACCTCAAAACCACAACAAAACAACCAGAAGTACCACAAACACCGACAACACAACATGCAAGTCCAAAAAATAACTTGCACATTCACCACATAAATTACTACAACCACCCCCCACCCCGAAATGCCAGATTAACCTCATATGCCTACCCCACCCCAACCACCACCACAACAAAACCACTTGAACTATAACCCACTTACCCCAACCAATTCGAGTACCATTACCACAACCACGACACGCACTACAACCACGACAACCACCATTACGACAACCACGCCAACAACCACTACCAGAATTACAACACACAACCACCACAACTATAACCAATTAACCCCAATCACGCTAACCACCATTATCACAACCACGCCTTCCACATTTACCACCACCAGAACCCCACCACCACAACTATAACCAATTAACCCCAAACCACACACCACCGTTACCCAACCACGCCAACCACACCATCCCCTCCACCACAACCACACCACCACACGTAACCTACCGGCTTCGTGATTCCCGTTGTTAATCTCCTGGCATGTGCCCATACTCTCCGTGATCCGGTAAAGCTGGGGAACAAAAAGCCGGATCCGGCAATGAAACAAGTTTTTTCGTTAAATATTAGTGACTTGACCACACAATTGTATGTGATGTAATCATATAACAGTATGTAGTGAAATATGGTCGGTTGCTATGTGTTTATGATGGTTTGATTAAAAGCATAAAGTGCATTACTAGTTTAATTAATCAGCATGTGATTTATAAAACTAAAGCTTATGTGGTGGCCCGATACTTTGTCCACACTCATGCGTGAATACTTTTTGTTTTGTTTATGTATAAGTAACTATTAACCCAAGGTACGGAATAGGGAAGGTCGATTGCCTTACATACACACAAATAAAAGATATCTTAGGTGTAACAGCAAAGCGTGTGTCCAATGATAGAGAAGCCGATTAAAATCGCAGACTATTTAAGAGATCGTCTAGGTCTAGATTACATACTTCAGAGGTTTAACAAAATAGTTTAAATAATTTTTCTCCTAAATAATAGTGACGTGTTATTGTGACGTCACGCCCAACGACCAATCAGAGCACACGTTACCTTTGTCTGCAGGTGGCCAATCAAAATGTCCAGCTCCTTGGGGTAGAAGGGGAAGACAAATCTGTTTCCGGTGTCGACCTCGTCTTTTTTCTCTTTATCTTCTCCTGACACGCCCAGCGCGAGCAAGCAAAACATGGCGGCGATGACGTAAGTCACGCGAGAGTTGGAGATTCTTGACATTTTGTTCTGAAACAAAAACATGACATCATGTTCAGTGTTTCTTTCAGGTATCTCTTTAGGTGGGAAGGAGGTGGTGTCTCTTCGAAGCACATCTAACGCACCCCCCGCCACCCCCGAATGAATTAAAATTTAGGCAGAAAATATAGTATATACTTTACCAGTGCGCCCCTCCTCAGGGAAATGTTAGCCCCCCCCCCTTAAAGTATCATGTGCCCCATCCCGGAGGAAAAAGTCTGAAATAAACACTGATCAGATTACACTCTGATACAGCAAGGCAAGAAAATCAATTATTGTTAAAGATTAGAGATGGGTGATTTTTAAAAAAAATTAAAACGTTTACAACATATTTTAGATTTTCAAAAAAAACTCATTAATCTTGACATGTCAATATAAACATTTTACGTCAGTAAAAATAAAATTGGACATACTATTTCCCAATATAAAATATTTTTGACGTAATATCAGCTCAATTTTAATTCAAAATGTAAATGTTTAACTTCGCAACAATTGTTAAGTTATTTTTTTTTTAATTTCGAAGTAAGTTCGATCTCACTAGCGGTTTCAGTATATTTTTAATCAATTAAAAAAAACGAAGCATTTTATTTAAAATCCCTCAATTTTATCACAAAGTACAAATGCTCTCGAGATCTTCACAATGTAAACATTTGCTCAAAATCTTGCCTTCCAAAAAAAAAAAAAAAAAAAAAAAACACTACAACGACTAGTAAATAACCAATCAATCATACAGTGCACATTGCTATTGTCACATTTAGTGCTATGAAATGTACGTTATATTTAGTATTGTCAGAATATTTACTTCTTCTTTTTTACTATATTATTATACTTTAGAAGGGTATTGCCTCCGCCATAATTTAAAATTACGATTATAAAGAGCGTTTCTACTCGTGATTCGAACTCGAGACTTCTATGTTTACAGGCATGTGCTCTTACGCCCGACCATGCCGTCGACTTAAATTCTGAACATAAATTAATTACTGATTACTATTGATATTTACGGCAATAAAGACTTCATTTCAAAATTAATAATTTAATTTAGAAATACAATTAAAAATCACTAGATACAGCGCTAACCACACAATCCCTTCATACACCTAGGTCAAATATTTAGATGAACTCTACTTCACCACCTATTTAACAGAAATTACTTTAGTAACATCTGTCACACTGGGTTATTATTGGGTGTTTTAAAGTCTAGTTGCAGGGTGGTAGAAATGTGAATGTTTGTGTGTTGTAAAATATGTTCACATACCCCTTGGTAAGATTGATATAGCGGCCTTCAACACTTAAGTTTCAGATTAACTATAACATTTAAGATAAAATTCAAGATAGCGGTAACAATTAAGATTAAAATAACATTTAATATAACGGTAACATTTAAGATAACGATAACATTTAAGATTAAAATAACATTTAAGAGGACAATAACAACTAAGACAAACGATAACATTTAAGACAAACGATAACATTTAATTGACACACACTATGGAGGCGCAAGGAGGGGAAGCAACTGGCAGAGGCAGGACTGTCATGGCGGACTGCCAGGAAAATCTCCCGATGACTAACAAAAGTGGATGGAGCTTTCTATACTGGCCTCATGTGCCTTGGGAACTAAATGAGACGTTGCTTATAATACAAATTAAGCAATACATATAAGTATTACAGTTTCTGTTCTGATCTACTCCTTAAAAAATTATCTTTACTTAGACTACGTGGCTCTACAGTTAATACTGCTGACAGCTCTGAAAAAATTCTGCACCTCTTATGCTAATTTATCTCTCTGGACTACCCATTGAACCTCTGCGCGCGTTCAATCACGCCACAATCATTAAACCTAATTGGTTATATCGCTTCCCACTGGGGCGTCCAGACTGACCATTAGTTGTCTAATCTCTAGCTATAAAATATACACAATATTTTAGTGGGTGTTACGGGTCAGTTGTAGTTTAGATAGAAATAGGTTAGAATAATCCAGAAATAGGGGAGAGTGCGTGTGTGAGTTTACCCTAGAGTATTGTTAACCCCGGTGTGTTGATGTATTGTTATCCCAAGGTCGAATGCGGTATAACAGCTGGAGTGAATGGTTGTCAGGGGTTAGTTGGTAGCGGTTAGGTCGAGGGCTACTCTGGAATGTGAATATTTGAGACCAAATAAAAGTATGGAACGTAAACACGAGTCGTTCTTGAGTTGAAACTAACCAGGATGTAACAGTGGGCACAAGAACAGGGGAAGCAAGCGCTTATGTCGCTACCAGAAGGTTGGTAAACAAGAACTAATGCACTCTCTGCGATAACCTTTCCAAAGGTCTTGGCTCCAGCCTAGTACAGGGGTCGGCAACCCGCGGTTCGCGGGCCGCATGAGGCTCTTTTGGTGTCAAATTGCGGCTCTTCAGCTCCATGGACATATATTAATAATTATTTTATTTTATTTTCAAAATTCATAAAAATATTGCACTGCAACATTCGGTAACGAACGATAAAATAAAAAAAACATAAACAAAAAACACTCGCTGTTCTATTAGAATATTTAGTTAGGACACAATGTATTTCCTATTAACTTGTGTATCCCAAATTGCAACATTCCACTTCATAGTGGAGATCACAAAGAAAATAACGAGCTAAATGAAAAACTGCATGGAAAGGAAAACCCAGCCTATGCCTTGCTTGTAGAAGATGCTTGTTTCGAAAAAAAAGTTACTTCATTTTGTTTGAAGACGCGGAAAGCGGTAAATTACTTCATTTCGAAAAATCTGGGGAAAAAAATGCCATGATAAAACAAACGCTAAAATTAACATGAATCACTTCATCATTGCTATAAACAAAATGAAGGATGGGTTCACTGAGAGATTTGAGCAATTCAAAAGAAATGCAAGTACTCTGACGTTCATAGTAGATTCTCTCAAAACAAAAACAAATAAGATTAACTTTGAGCTATTTGGAATTGATGCTGGTTCGCTTCAAATTAAATAGCTAGATTTGAAAACCAAACATTTGTGGAGCGGTAAGTTCACGTATCTCAAGATCAACTTAGATGATTTGGAGGTCTAGTAAAACATGCACGTTTGACTGTACAACTGGACAGCTCTAAAAGAAATGCCGCGAGTTGAGGCCCTAATATGTGACGCATGGAATAGTCTTGCAGGATGCTACAGTAAGGTAAAGAAGTTGGAATTATTCATGCGAGCAAGTGTTTTCTTGCAAGAATATAATAACGTATAGAAGCCAACTAACAAATACAAATCTAGAGGCATGCTTGAAACGGAAAACAAGTTATTAGCCAGGTTAAAACAAACTTTCAAAAGGCATGCAAGGCGAAACTTTTATAAATAGTATTCAATAATTAAAGTCATATACTTTGATTACTGATTTTATTATTCGAGCAGATTTTTTTTGAATAAATATTATTTCGTATTTAAAGATATATATATATATATATATATATATATATATATATATATATATATATATATATATATATATATATATATATATATATATATATATATATATATATATATAATCCTAGTCAATATCATAATATTGAAATAAAAATGTTAGTGGCTCTTTAAAAACAGGGATATTTGGTAAATTGTAACTGCTCTGTTGCATCTATTTTGTCTCGAGTGTTATTTTGTAACTAATTAGTGTGTCTAATTGATTTTCTAGCTATTCTTCTTGTTCCTTCCTTGCAATGTCCATTTCCCTAGCTATTTTAATAGTGAGTTTTGTTATTACATGTTTAAATTCTTCCCAGTGTTCTAATACGTATGCTTTTGGAATTGTTTGTGTGTAGTGTGCGGACATGTATTCGCAGCAGTGTGTGTATCTGTCGTTTTCTAATAGAGTTGTTATTTTATATATTTTTTATTGAGATATTATTAAAAGACTCCTTTTTATTTTAAAAGTACCACGTACTAAATGAAATGTATGTCAATTATTTAAAAAAAAATACTACGATCTTATGTGTTAGTATGACTATAGGTTAGTGCATTTAAATACAAGTAATAGATGCAATTAGCATTCAAGGCGTAAGACGATATTGCACACCAAGTACATTATAAATAGTTTCTCTTAATTGATGAATGTTACAGTTTAATAGAGCAGGGGTCGGCAACCTGCGGCTCGCGAGCCGCATGCGGCTCTTTTGATGTCAGGATGCGGCTCTCTAGTTCCATGAACAAATATTAATACTAATTTTGTTTTATTTTTACAACTCATTAAAAATATTATAAAGAAAAAAAACAACTTTAAACAGGATAAAAACACAATCAGCAGAGAACAATAAGAGTAGGTGAGATTGAAAGTATACGGACAGCTGACAGCCGCTTGGGCACCAGGCCCAGCCTCACAGTCGTGCTGTGGCCAGCACAGTGGCGACGGTTCCATTCTTGGAAGTGCCGACTTTTTTGAATATCGCTAACTGGGGAATGTTATTTTATTCAGAAAGCATTTAGCGGTCAATATGCATTAATTTGACCTGACTAACGTGGTTTTTTAGTTATTAGCTTCCTACGGCTGAGCGGGGTTATAGACGGTGGGGTACGAGTTTACCCTGCGTGCAGTGGGGTGGAAGAAAAGCCTGGTGAGAACCGAAGGACAGAAGTGACAGATACCCAAGAAAGTAAGTGGGAGTTGGTAGTGTTGAGACCTGCCTGGCTATGGGAGACACCTCCTTGGCCAGTAGTGTCCGTATCTATAGAAAAAACAGTTATTGGCTTCTATTGTGCGAAATATTAGTATGTTTTTAAGTATAAATATTCTTCATATTTAAAGCTATTTATTTCGAATCAAATTTATATATCTAATCCTAATCAAATACCAAAATATTGAAATGTGAAAAATGTTTGTGGCTCTTTAAAAACTGTGAAATTTTGTAAATTGTAACTTGTGGCTCTTCCGGCTCAAAAGGTTGCCGACCCCTGTAATAGAGTGTGTTTTTTTTTTTTTTAAATACTTTTATTTTCCAATTTAAAACAAATACAGTAACATTCCACGCCCTTTGGGCGCATATTTACAAGATAGTTACATTGGTGGAATACAAAAGATACATTGGATTTAAAGCTTGTTGGTTCAAAAATGAAAACAGGCTGGTTTGCAACATGTTTCCCAACAAAAGTGGTGGAAGAGTATAACGTATGGAAGTATAGTCGAAAACAAAGCTGGTTTGCATGGATTTCATCTCATTCTGTACAATAAACATAGTAAATACCAAAGAAAAATGAATAACCAGTAGAGTAATCACACACACACACACAGATTTCGTTTACAATAGTGAATTACAAAAATAGGTAAATAAGTAAATGAATAAATATTCGAAACTGATGTTGTGGTGGGGGGGGGGGGGTCGTTGGAGCAGTTAAGAGGGATGTGGGGTTATCATATCTGAGGGTGATGGGGGCAGAGGGGGGGGGGGCGGTAGAGTGTCTGACGAGCTAAATATTTATTTTAATTTTTTTTTTTTTTTTAAATACTTTTATTTGCAATTAAAACAAGTACATCAACATTAAATTTTTTAACATAATTCTCTATATAGAGTGTTGTTAAAGTTACCGAAACTCTACTTGCAAAAACCATTAGTAGTGCTATTGCAGAGTTCAGTATTAAATAAACACAAAATTTAAAACAACTAACAGTATTTATTAGCATTGGAGTCATGTAATATTATTTAAAAATCTATGAATTATAAATAATGTACACATCAATCAAAGCAAATGAATATTTTCTACTTAATTTCATAATGAATTATAATTTTTTTTTATTAATACTATGTTTTCTTTACCTTTTAAAAGACTTTTGAGAAATTTGTTTGGGTGATTTCCCATTTTTTTTAAACGCAATTTTAAATGGGAAGATACTGCAAATATTAAACAATTATGAAATATATGTTCATATAATTATATTTAACTATTTCTATCCTTTTTAACACTTATACTATAATTAGTATTTTAAATATCCAATAATAACATTATATTTAATCTACATATTAATGGAGTGGATGTGCATTTTGTTTAGCAAATTTATACACAAAATTTATTGTTCTTTTCTTTTGACAGTAAACGGGTTGGTTATAAAGTTTCATTTGAAAATACTACAGGAAAAACATGCATTTGTAAACGGTTAGATGATATATGGATTTTATTTTAAAATACAACAGCAAATATTATTTTTATAATCGGACTGGGTATAAGGATTCATGTGGAATAGAAAGGAGAATAGTTTAGCACAAATATTATGTAGCTGATGGACACAGATGAGCTGACACAGTAGCATACACACGCTGATAAGTTGAACAATCAAACATAGGCATAGGTTATTAGCTAGGATTCTTGGCTTTTGAGAAACGCAATTGGAGTAAATATAACTTCCGGTTACTGGAAATCGCTCGAAATGTGATATAGAACAACAAATGTGATATAACACTTATATTTGAATTTTCTCCAGCTTAACTGATGCGGTGCTAAAGTTATCGTGTTAACAGACACGGTCAAAATTGCCAAGTTTTCCGCTTCCGGAAGGATTTGATCGTCATAATTTGTCAAAATTTCTAGTTAGATTCTTTGCACGATTACATTGAATCGTTTATGTTCTGTATACGATTAAGTAAAGAGATGTAACACGGCGAAAACTGGCAAAAACTTCATTTAATGATTACAATACTTTCTCTATTCTCTGTTTACGAGAAAGTTAAAAATCACATCACTTTAGAAGGGTTTATTATTCGTTGAACCTTCTTGTTGTTAGTGGGATAGATCATGAATATATTTGCCGGTATACTTAGAGGTTTTTTAATGTTTCTTTTAATCAAGCTAAATACAAAGTGTAATCGCTTTCTCATAGTTCATTTTTAATGAGTCGAAATATATTATCACTTAACAATTAAGAATTAAAATAATTTAAGAATACTTTTTTAGAATTTATAAAAAAATATAGATTTTTATTTTTAAAAGTAATGATATTAAATGAAGTAAAACCACAAACAAACATTCTTTAATATCACACCAGGGCTAATAAAAATTCCTCGAATTTCAGAACAAAAAATAATTACACTAGCCATGGTAAATTTTAAAAAAACATTTTAAAAAATCACATATTTTTGGTTAACCTAAAAAATCTTCAAAACATTTTAGAAAATGTCAAAATCGAGAACATTGTGTTGAAAAGTAGCAAACATTACCAATTAGAGTTTTAATTAGTTCAGTTAACGCTGAAATTAATGAATTTAACCGATACTTACCTAACTGGCTTACAACCACTCCCACAAAATCTCCAACCAAATGTACTTCAGTCCGCAACCAACTAGCCAGCAAATATAGCATTAATTAAACCTAGCTCAGCATCCTCTGCGATAGGTGAGATTAATTATGATTGTGTTAATTAATTATCTACTATTTGTCAGTATTGCGTTTTAGCGTGCCGGGTAATACTGTATTAAATGCAGTAATGCCCCTACTCCCCCCCCCCCCCCTCTCCCTCATGTCGAGTACAACTGTTATACTTGCAAAAATGCTTTTATTTCTCCACCACTCTCATCCCCCCCCCCCGATCGTGCTACGTAATACTGTAATACATGCAATATTGTCAATTGCTACGTAATACTGTAATACATGCAATATTGTCACTTGCTACGTAATACTGTAATACATGCAATATTGTCACTTGCTACGTAATACTGTAATACATGCAATATTGCCACTTGCTACGTAATACTGTAATACATGCAATATTGCCACTTGCTACGTAATACTGTAATACATGCAATATTGCCACTTGCTACGTAATACTGTAATACATGCAATACTGTACAAGCGTTAGACGACAAATAGTGCCCACTTCATAGGTTTCCTTCCCCTCCTGGCCATCCCATACACTTAATAAAAATAAAAACCCTTTATGAAAACACTTTGAAACAAATTAAAATCGGCAAAAATATTTTTTTACAATTCATCGGTTAAATTAGTTTGAATAAAATCGCTGGACGATTCATCGGGTATGATGGTTTAAATAATTTTTTTTGGACAATTCATCGGCTATACTGGTTTAAATAAAATCGCTGGACAATTCATCGGCTACAAAGGTTTAAATAAAATCGTTGGACAATAATAAATTGGCTGGACATGCTGAACATCTTGTCAATACAGTTTGTGGACATTTTATGTGTTCTAATCTCTGTCCCATCATCTAAAGATCTCGAGGACACCCTAAAACACACACACACAAAAACAACATTTCAATAACAAGTATAAGACGCACTAAAAAATTATCATAATTATTTTTTCTTTAATGGTAAAAACCTTAAAGGCGAAAATGTTTTTTTTTATCACATTTAAAAGCTTGTTTTTGATAAAAGTTTGTATTTTTTTTATCAACGTAGTTTCTTTTAGGCATCTCTTAGGTAGAACGTCCATTTTTTAAATTTCACCCTATTTTACTGAGCAGATTCATTTCAAGCCGGAGACGTAGGCGAAGATTGTATGACATTTGCTTTGATATAACTAGATTTATAGTTACATGTTTACATCATTAGATTTTTTAATTAATTTCTGTAACATAATTTGATTTTTTAATTATTTTTTGTGACATAATTGGATTTTTTTATTCTTTTTTGTTGTTGACATAATTATACATTTAATTCACCTTTTTACATAATTAGATTTTTAATTCGTTTTAAAATAATGTATATTAAAAATTTATTATGGGCTAGTACATGTCTATGTAAAACTGTACTCAAAAAATTAAAATACATCTGTAAAATGTAAGTTTAATTTCCATTTAAGGACCAAAGTTTTAACGATATTTGTGACTTTGCATTTATTATCCATTTTGATTATAAAGGTGTTTAATTTAAATCTGTAATTCAATGCACGATTCATATTGAGGCGGCACAATAAAAAGTAACGTGAAAAATATGTAAACATTCTGTGCTATTTTTAGTCGTACACGCATTCCGATGACGCCATAGTGAGCACACATAAACTTTAACTTCCTGTTTAGGGTACACAATGGCGTAAATTACGTCAATGAAGGTATTGTATGTTTTGATTGCTTTCCTTGTCTTGATTACAATCCGCTTGTATTTATTTACTCATAAAATAACCCGCTGAATAAGCCGCGACTATGTGTCAAAATATTACTACGGTGTAGAACAATTAAAGCAGGTATACAATCATTTCTAATAAGGCCATTTTCCATAAAGGAAATATTTTGATACATTTTAAGAATAAGGTGGACTAGATCTACGATTTTTTTATAGTAATTTGTAGTGCAGTTTAAATATTTTGAAAGCTATTAGGAAAAGTTATTATCACAGTTCGTCCATCGTCCTATAGCTAATTTTTGCTAACAACACTACCTGTGTTAAACCCATTATGCCGTAACCATAAACAATGACCTAAACCTAACCCAGCGTTATAGCATTAGCACTAATCCTAGACCAGAGTACATTTAATTTTTTTTATCTGACATAACTGAACTCAACTGCTTAATAACCTAAGAAATAAATTCGGTAGATTATGTTCTTGCGGTTTGGGAAAGATTTCACAATATTTACATTGTTTTATTTACTTAGAAAGTCCCTGAATCTACCCAGCTTTAATGGGTCCTTGACTCACGTTAAGGAAAGTAAAGGATGCTGAGTATAGTGCTATCCCTTCTTATGCCGTGGTCACAGAAACTACATTCCCCATCGACCACCACCACTACTTTCCCCATTACAACCACTACATTCCCCATTACCCCCAGTACATTCCCCATCACCCCCAGTACATTCCCCATCACCACTACACTCCCCGTTACCACCACTACATCCCCCACTATCACTACATTCCCCATCACCCCCAGTACATTCCCCATCACCACTACACTCCCCGTTACCACCACTACATCCCCCACCACCACTACATCCCCCACTATCACTACATTCCCCATCACCCACCACCACTACAATCCCCATCACCCACTACATTCCCCATCACCATCACTACATTCCCAATAACCACTACCACATTCTCCATCACCCACCACTACAACCCCCTTCACCCACCACTACAACCCCCATCACCGACCCCTATCAATAACCCCCCCATCACCCACTACCATCAATAACCCCCATCACCCACCCCTATCAATAACCCCCATCACCGACCCCCATCAATAACCCCCATCACCGACCCCCATCAATAACCCCCATCACCCACCCCCATCAATAACCCCCATCACCGACCCCCATCAATAACCCCCTGCTATGTCTTCCCATCAGCTCAACAAAGAGTAGGGATATGCGCCCACACGTACATTACACGTCTCACGCTTGTACCCGCTGTTGAAGGCATGGTAACTCACTTCTTCGAGAATGGTTGAATGACGTCATTGGTGCGGCAACCAGCGGGGACCACGAACATGCCAAACAGGTCAACTCTACTTCAACTAATTAATTATCAATTTACAGTTTTTAGCATGCACGCGATATTGCTATAAGAAACTGTTGTCTAACTGATCTAAATTCTTTCTTTTGTTAAATATTGATATATTTTTCTTTTATATATTCCCAAATCAAATTTCTCAATTTGAACTCTTCCCTACCCTATAATTTGTAGCAGCAAAACATGATTTGTTTAACAAATGTAAAAAAAAAACCTGTTAAACTATTTTATTTACACGTTTTTTTGTGCTGGCGTAAAAGCACATAAAGAACCAGTAAATGTCGCACATTAAAAAGGTGAGGTGGGGAGATGAGGGGTTGCTCCTTCCATATCATTCAATTGGGGTGAAGTGTTGTCCAGGGGCTGGGGCTGTGATGTTGTTAGTGGTGTTGTTAGTGGTGTTGTTCGTGGTGTGGTTAGTGGTGTTGTTTGTATTGTTGTTAGTGGTGTTTTTACTGGTGTAGTTACTGGTGTTGTTAGTGGTCTTGTTAGTGGTGTGTTCAGTGTCATGATCATTATGTTGGTAGTGCCTAGCGATTTGCTTGTTGTCGAACAATAAAACATGAACTCATCATAAAATATTTTATTTAGTCCATTATGGAACAGGCTCGACTACATATAACAATAAATCATCAACATCATAAAAAAATTTTATTCATTCCATTATGGAATACATTTAACAATAAAACTAAATGCTTTATTCACCGTCACAATAGACAATTAAATGTTATTAATTTATTTTATTGCGGGATAAAAAGAGCTCCCAGCTTTGTGAGAAACATTTAGACTTAAGCTAGGGGTTGATTTATTCAGTGGCTTCAAACAAATGGTTAAACATGAATGATTTCGTTGTTTCAAAACTTGGTGTCTATTAGAGGTTTTACGTATATACGTAACAACGGAGAAAACGTCATTTGTGTAAGATATACGTATAAGAACAATGTCTAAATATGTAAATATTTTGGTGTTAATTATCCATACATATCTTTATTTAGTTTTGCTTACACTCATACAAATAGATGTACATATATGAATATACATTGATACTCATTCACACTGCTATATGCACATTCACTTACACATACACACACGAATATATATATATATATATATATATATATATATATATATATATATATATATATATATATATATATATATATAGTTTTCTTACACATGAGTCATCCAGAAAAGACACCATGCTTTTTTGTACGATTTTTACATCATCACAAACAGCTAGGCCCCTCCCCTAAGATGACGTCACACCTCAGCCTTCAACCCCACACAGAATAGCAGTTTAAATTTTTTAAAGATCGATTCTTTTTCTAAATTATTGCCGGAGCTCGGTCAGCACAGAGTATAACAATTATACATTTCTAATACAATTTACCAAATATATCTCAGAAAAGCACAAAAAAAGACTAAAATATCAGCTGGTAATTTTTTTTTTTTTAGAAATGCAATTGTGACGCCACACTTTCTGAACCACCCTTCCCCCCCCCCCCCCCCACCCACCTCCATTTCTGATTACACATCGTCAGAAAATTTCGAACCATTCCTTCCCCTGTTATGTCATTTATGGACGACCCCCATAGTCGACTGAGGTTTTTCTTTTAAAACAACAAACGTGGTTTACAAAATATTCTTTAGTAGCCTGCCAATCTTCAAATTTACATAACCGGACTGACGCTTTACTCTGTTATTTGTAGAAATTTAACTACCAACAGTCAATATTATAGTTGTAGCGGATGTGTTGTTCTAGTTAAATTATTACTTCATCAGTAACCAAAGTACCACTCATTACTGCAAGCTGATGTAACAAAAGAACATGTGTGTGTCTTTGTTGTTCTAGTTAAATTATTACTTTATCAGTAACCAAAGTACCACTCATTACTGCAAGCTGATGTAACAATAGAACATGTGTGTGTGTGTGTCTGTGTTGTTCTAGTTAAATTATTACTTCATCAGTAACCAAAGTACCACCCACTTATTACTGCAAGCCGATGTAACAATAGAACACGCGTGTCTGACATACAGCTTGCACGCCGTGACTCAAGATCCCAAAATAGCGCCATAAATTAACCATGTTAAAATCTCGCAAGATGGTGCTGAATCGTTCACGTAGGCGCGCCAGAGAAGAAAAAAATCTATACCAGCTATACGACAGATTGTCAGTGGGAGGGGGTGTAATAAGGGGACGCTACTGCGACATAAAGGGAAATAAAAGACAACTATGCATTTTAAAATGTATTCATGTGAAATATTTTAACCATAATATGAGGCTTTAAAAAGATAACGGGTGGCCATACATTGACGACATGGTTGAGTGGCGTTTGAGGGATTTAAGTTAATCCCCGTTGATAAATAAAAATTAATGACATTAATAAATATAATTTTTAAAAGTTTATAATAGCTGGATGTTATGGATATTCATGGCGTGGGTAGATACTTTGTGAAAAATGTTGGATCCCTTGAATCATAATTTAATAACAAATTTACATTTTCAGGTTTAAAATAAAAGTTGTTATTAGACGTTTTGTATTAGATCTATGTATAATAAAAACATCTTAAATGAATGAAAATAGGCTACAAGTAAGAAAGTATTACTATTGTAAATCTGTATCAGTCCTCACAAGCCTTTGATGAAAACTAATACTAAAGCGAACATGCAAGGCAAACTGACACTGTCAATTACATGTCTGACGCGAAACAAAAATATCTAAGAAATACGCTTCTTAGAAATTACTTGTAGAATAATACACAATTATAAAAAGAAATACATAAAGTATTTAAAAATATTAATAGACTGTGTTTAGTTCAGACATAAAGTTTTCTTTTTAATGCTGTAGAAAAATAGTCATAACTTAGCTATAAAATACAACAGATGGCAGTTGGTGGGTAGGACAAAGGAAAATGGGCTACATCGTGTGTAACGCGTGACGGGCGCACACATAACACAACACACCAGACACTACACACCAGACTCTACACACCAGACACTACACACCAGACACTACACACCAGACACTACACACCAGACACTACACACCAGACACTACACACCAGACACTACACACCAGACACTACACACCAGACACACCAGACACTACACACCAGACACTACACACCAGACACTACACACCAGACACTACACACCAGACACTACACACCAGACACTACACACCAGACACTACACACCAGACACTACACACCAGACACTACACACCAGACACTACACACCAGACACTACACACCAGACACTACACACCAGACACACCAGACACTACACACCAGACACTACACACCAGACACTACACACCAGACACTACATACCAGACACTACACACCAGACACTACACACCAGACACTACACACCAGACACTACACACCAGACACTACACACCAGACACACCAGACACAACACACTAGACACTACACACCAGACACTACACACCAGACACTACACACCAGACACTACACACCAGACACTACACACCAACCTCTACACACTAGACTACACACCAGACACTACACACCAGACACTACACACCAGACACTACACACCAGACACTACTCACCAGACACTACACACCAGACACTACACACCAGACACTACACACCAGACACTACACACCAGACACTACACACCAGACACTACACACCATAAAAACATAGAAAACATTACAACTAAACAAAAACAAACACACTTGTAAAATATGTTTCAAAGCATTTGAGTATTTTTTGTTGTTGTTTATTTTGCCTGTGCGTGTTGGGGGGGGGGGGGGGTAAATTTTTATGCAACTGTTTAAAAAAATCGATGTAATCTAACTCAAGAAGACGAACATTCTGTAACATCGTATTTCATCTAACTCAACAAGACGAACATTATGTAACATCGTATTTTATTTAAGTCAACAAAACGAACATTACGTAACATCGTATTTTATCTGAATCAACAAGAAGAAAATTCTGTAATATCATATTTTATCTAAATCAACAAACGAACATTATGTAACATCGTATTTTGTCTAAATCAACAAAACGAACATTATGTAACATCGTATTTTATCTAAATCAACAAAACGAACATTTTGTAACATCGCATGTAACATCATATTTCATCTAACTCAACAAGACGAACATTATGTAACATCGTGTTTTATCTAAATCAACAAGACGAACATTATGTTACATCGCATGTAACATCATATTTCTTCTAACTCAACAAGAAGAACATTATGTAACATCGTATTTTATCTAAATCAACAAGACGAACATTCTGTAACATCGTATTTTATCTAACTCAACAAGACGAACATTATGTAACATCGCATGTAACATCGTATTTTATCCTACAGGTCTTCAAATCACAGAAGCTCTCATGAGCTATCAGACGAACAAAAGTAAGTTTTAAAAATTTTTGTTTCAAAGTTGATTCTGTTTTTTTCTTATTTTTATAATTAGAGTATTTTTATGTAAAAATTGTGGTTTCACATGTAATAACAGATTTTTAAAAATAAAATGGAAATCTTTTAACAATCAATCAACCCGACTTGACATCGCTCCATCCACACAAACCATCCTTTCATCCCCCTTTATCATTCACATAAATTATCTTTTAAACCCCCCCCCCCCTCCTTTTCATTGATCTAATATTTCGCCATTTACACAAACCATCCTTTCATCCCCCCCACCCCTTCCCGCCTTCATTGATGCAACATTTCACCATTCATCATGCAACTACATTTAAAAACTATTTTGGACAACTTTTACTATCATTTACACTGCATTTTAGTGTAAAACACATTTTTAAAATGAAATCAAAATAATTTTGTTACGATTTATATTTTTGTTTTTATCTTTCACTCAACCAGTCTGAATTAAATTTGCTATAGCCTTAACTTTTTCCCCTACACATTCCACTAATACATTTTTCAATATACGTAGTTACCTGCTGATTTATCTTCCCATTACACAGTGGGGCATCAACTTTTTCTCACTATGCCTTTAAATAAAAAAAACAATATTTGCCCCTACTTAGGCACTATGTCATCCCATTTCTATTTTTAACAACACGTTTATTTATAAGCCTATAAGCCTTGAGTCTAACCTTATCGGCCAATCTCCCGTGATGGAATTATTTTTTAGAAAAATGTTTCAAGGAAATGAAAAATTTAACAATGGACAGCCGATGGATGGACAATTGAATAGATGTATTGCAAACGACGATTTTTATTTAATCATCCGAACTAAAGCGTTAGTTTTTCTTATATGACTTTCCATCCGTATATTCATATCAAAAGAGAGAGATAATGTCTATTTGATTCTCTCGATAAACTATTTCAATGTTGACCCATTTATAAAATAACTATTGATTTTACTCTCGATAAACTATTTAAATGGTGACCCATTTAAAAAAACAACCATTGATTTTACTCGCGATAAACTATTTCAATGTCGACCCTTTAATAAAACAAATATTGATTTTTTTCCCCCCAATAAACTATTTAAATGTAAACCCTTTTATAAAACAAAGATTCACATATTCCGGAGATATTAAATATGTGTATCATCCTAACGTTTGTTATTAATATCATGGGGTTTTAAACTTTTTGTACAAAACTTTTGGCGTAACGTTTGTAAGAAGAACAATTATTGGGCTACGGTTTTAGGGATTTATTTAGCAACCGTTATGTTTTGGCTAGCGTTCAGTTGACAATATTCACTTGAGTGAATGTAATACGTTGTTTAAAACATCTCCAACATACACAATTTATTTTCCTCGTTTATTTCTATATGATCTCGGATAATGTTGAGTCTTGGGCCGGAGTGGTTGAATCTCAAAAGTCTGTCATAAATATACTGTTGGATGTTATAACAACATTAATCATATCCAGGCTGCGATCATTGGATCGATATTACATGGGTGAGATTATAGTTTGGTTTAAATAGCGTTAAAGAAGAGGGGGAATTATACTGACGATTATTTATGGGTGTTATTTTCTATTTTTGGCTTAAACTTGGAAATTGCGTGTTGTTGTCTAGTGGTAGAGTGCTCGAAAGCTAACCCGAAAGTAGCGAGTTCGGTTCCGCGTCCGTATGACATCTCTGAGTCTACCCAGCTCTAATAAGTACCTGAATAGAATTGGGGTAAATAAATTCGGCTGGGTTGAACACATAACTTTTCTTATAGACAGGGCAGATAGATAAGCTCTACTTCATCTTCTATTTAGACTTTCATGTGTTTATATGCATTTTAACATAATAAACCAGACAATTGAACCATGTTGGATCTAGTATCTCAAAAGTAACTTAAACTCCTATAATATTCTTTGTTTGAAACATAATTATCAAAGTTTCTGTTCTATAGAGTCGGTGTGTTTAGGTTTCTAATTAAATAAGAACAGCCGGTAACGATTTTATAATAAAATACAGAATTATTGTGGATTTGTTTTGCAACAGCTGGTCGCTCAGCTATGTTAAACTAAGATTGATATTTATTACATTGGGCTCGTGATTATTTTTTATTGAAAATTAATCTTAGGTAATCTTAGGACGAATGAACGTATGGGAAGGGGCAAGGGGGAGAGAAGTATGGTTCAGTAAGGGTGGTGGGGTGGGGTGGGAGACGGATTTAACGGTTGTACAACAGAATAAAGAACTGGTGTACAGAAGGTGGGGAGAATCGAGGTAAACAGTAGAAGACTCTTGGGGTACTGGAGATAATTGTGTAGGGTAGAGAACTGTGGTATAGTAGGGGGAGAGAACTGTGGTATAGTAGGGGAGAGAACTGGTATAGTAGGGGGAGAGAACTGGTATAGTAGGGGGAGAGAACTGGTATAGTAGGGGAGAGAACTGTGGTATAGTATGGGAGAGAACTGGTATAGTAGGGGAGAGAACTGGTATAGTAGGGGAGAGAACTGTGGTATAGTAGGGGAGAGAACTGGTATAGTAGGGGAGAGAACTGGTATAGTAGGGGAGAGAACTGGTATAGTAGGGGAGAGAACTGGTATAGTAGGGGAGAGAACTGGTATAGTAGGGGAGAGAACTGGTATAATAGGGGAGAGAACTGTGGTATAGTAGGGGAGAGAACTGGTATAGTAGGGGAGAGAACTGGTATAGTAGGGGAGAGAACTGTGGTATAGTAGGGGAGAGAACTGGTATAGTAGGGGAGAGAACTGTGGTATAGTAGGGGAGAGAACTGGTATAGTAGGGGAGAGAACTGGTATAGTAGGGGAGAGAACTGGTATAGTAGGGGAGAGAACTGTGGTATAGTAGGGGAGAGAACTGTGGTATAGTAGGGGAGAGAACTGGTATAATAGGGGAGAGAACTGGTATAGTAGGGGAGAGAACTGTGGTATAGTAGGGGAGAGAACTGGTATAGTAGGGGAGAGAACTGTGGTATAGTAGGGGAGAGAACTGGTATAGTAGGGGAGAGAACTGGTATAGTAGGGGAGAGAACTGGTATAGTAGGGGAGAGAACTGTGGTATAGTAGGGGAGAGAACTGGTATAGTAGGGGAGAGAACTGTGGTATAGTAGGGGAGAGAACTGGTATAGTAGGGGAGAGAACTGGTATAGTAGGGGAGAGAACTGTGGTATAGTAGGGGAGAGAACTGGTATAATAGGGGAGAGAACTGTGGTATAGTAGGGGAGAGAACTGTGGTATAGTAGGGGAGAGAACTGTGGTATAGTAGGGGAGAGAACTGGTATAGTAGGGGAGAGAACTGTGGTATAGTAGGGGAGAGAACTGGTATAGTAGGGGAGAGAACTGGTATAGTAGGGGAGAGAACTGTGGTATAGTAGGGGAGAGAACTGGTATAATAGGGGAGAGAACTGTGGTATAGTAGGGGAGAGAACTGTGGTATAGTAGGGGAGAGAACTGGTATAGTAGGGGAGAGAACTGGTATAGTAGGGGAGAGAACTAATATTATAATAGGGGAGAGAACTGGTAAAGTAGGGGAGAGAATTGGTATAGTAAGGGAGAGAATTGTGGTAAAGTGGAATAAGTGTGGTAAAGTAAGCTTAGATAACTCTGAAACAATGAGAAGGCTTTTTACTTAAACCAAACCCACCTATATTTTCTGATATCATTCGCATAAATATCCCTACAATTCGTAACAAACCTTGGCGTGAGCTCAAGGACGTGAGCTTAAGGACGTGAGCTTAAGGACGTGAGCTCAAGGACGTGAGCTTAAGGACGTGAGCATGCACGACAGGTATCCTCGACACTACGATCAATCACTAAAACAAGAGTGAGTACACATAATGTGCAGCCTGGTGAGTCAGACCAAGAGTACATCAGGATATATACAGGATACATACAGGATATATACAGGATACATACAGTATACATCAGGATACATATAGGATACATATAGGATACATACAGGATACATACAGGATACATACAGGATACATACAGGATACATACAGGATACATACAGGATACATACAGGATACATATAACTAGCGGCATCAAGGTTTTCAACTCGTATAGCATACAGCCAACGGCTTTAACGTTTTAACTCGTATAGGTCTAGCATACAGCCAAAGGCATCAAGGTCTAACGTCGTATAGCATACAGCTAACGGCATCAAGGTTTTAAGTCGTATAGGTTTAGAATACAGCCAACGGCTTGAAGGTTTACGTCGTATTTGTCTAGCATACAGCCAACGGCATCAAGGTTTAAAGTCGTGTAGCATACAGATAACGGCATCAAGGTTATACGTCGCATAATCTATAGTAGCTAACGATTTTAAAAAATGTTTATTTCCATAAAAGAAAACCATACTCTATTTTCTTTAGTTTTCAAATGCTTAAAGCTTTATTGAATTATATCTTCAACTAAATTGATCCGTCTCATTTAGCGTGAAAGAAATGTAGAGTAAATAAAATGCATAAGGCGTTTTATGGTGTATAACACGAGGGTATAATGAGTGGGTTATTTTTATTATAATTTGTTATATTTTGTTATACAGAGCAGAACATATACAACTATTATGTTTGGAACGTTTGTGTCTATTCAGGATGGCTGGATGCACATTTTAGCACACCTGGCTTACGCATTATTTCTTGTATACACAATATTTAACTGTTGTGTCCTACGAAAATGTAACAAGCGAATTTCCATTTGTTTTTTAAATGGGATAACATGGTATCACAATCGTTTTTATTGTTTGTATTTTTAATTTTTAATTTTTGGGTGTGGGGGGGGGGGGGGGGGGGGAGAGGAGTGGGGTTACACTAATCCTATTCAATATGATGTCTGTCGTACAGACGATGTAAAAGCTATATTTGCTACGTGGGTCTAACGTGAACGTCCCATTTCGTTGTTGCGTACACGATGCTGAGTCTTTTTTACTGAAACATTACTACGATAGATTTGGCGTTCATATTTTTATT